TCCTTTATCTCATTTACCAAAAAAACTGTCTTGTCCATAAGATAAAGTCATCCTTAGTCTTATGATATTTTTCAGCTTATCAAATGTTGATTTAATGCTCAGAATGTACCTTTATTTTATTTTTTTATTTTTTTAAATTCTTTATTTTTGGCGTGACAATGCGCTACAATGATGAAGAACTACATGCATTACACGGTGTGGGTATTAATCAGCTTTGGTTGGTAGCTGATCCGTAATCCAGTTTACATCTGATTATACCATCGTTACAGTTCGCGTGGTTGTGTTCATTTTGTAAGAATGTGCTAGTTGGTGTCATTTTTCATACATTTTCATACATACATTTTGTGAGAAATTATAAGAGTTAGACAATAAAAAGGAAAGGAAAACATGCAATAACTGTGTATTATAATTACCGCAAATGTCAAGCTTTGGTTTCAGCCCATAGTAAGCTATGTTATTAGGTGTGAAACCGTTCTCGTTGCAGGGGGACCTGTTTGATATCAACCTTAGCCCTGTGTGGTTAGGTACTGATACTCTTGGTCCCGTTTCCAGCAACGGTTTTGTAGAGAAGGTAGGGGTAGGGAAGGAGGGGGGGGGTGGGAGCCCCCGTGGTGGGATCCGGAGCATCGCGGTGGGAGGCTCTGTTGGTGTCTTATTAAGTGTTGACACCATGGGAAGTCCCTGGAGTGGTACCCTCACAGCTCTCCCAGTTCCCTGTTATCCAAGGTTCCCATGGAACATAGTTTTATGGTGCCTCTCACTAGTGCTGTAAGGTGGTCCATGACCTGGATATCTTTGATTTTGTGTAGTACGGTATTTATCTGTGGGGTTGTTGTTTGAAGCCATGTCTGCGCCATGGTGAGCCTGGCCGCGAGCTTGATTTTGTGTAAGAGTTTCTGTTCCCTCTTGGGCCAGTCTTCTAGTGTTCTGGAGAGCAGAAAAACCCATGGGTCTACTGTTACTTGCGTGTGGAAAACCTTATCTAGGAGGTTGCTCACTTCCCTCCAGAAGGTCTGTGCTCTCGGGCAGTCCCACCACATATGGATGTACGTCCCTTTGTTTCCGCAGCCTCTCCAACACAAGTCGTTTGGAGTTTTACGCATACGGTATAATTTTACTGGGGTAGCATACCAGCGCAGCATGGTCTTGTAGGCCTGCTCTTGGTGTGTGACGCGCGCTGAAATAGCTTTGTTTGCGTCCCATATTTCTCTCCATTCTGTGCCCTCTAGGGTCTCTTTGAGATCCGTTTCCCATTGTATGGTGTAGTTTAAGTCGCCCCAATCCGTGCTGTTTGTGCATAAATGTGCGTATAGGTATGAGATGAGTCCCTTTGGGGGGTTTTCATTGAGGCACATTCGTTCAAAGCCTGTTGGCGCAGTTTGTGCTGCCGTTTTGGCTAGATTGTGTTGTGCGAAGTCTCGGATTTGAATATAGCGAAAGAAGTCTGGGGGCCTTAGCCTGGTCCTTTCCTGTATCAAATGTCACTATTTGGTTCCCTTCATATAGGTGGATCGCCCGCTGTAGGCCTGCCTCCTCAATGTTTTTGAAGTCTCTGGCCCACATTCCCGGTGGGAACGCTCTGTTCCTCAGCAGGGGCATCAGAGGAGAGGGTGAGGTGGTTAGTTTGTATTTTTGGCCCACAGCGTCCCAGACCCGAAGGGAGTTTAGGATCGCTGGGCAATTGGTGCGTAGGATAGCCCTGTGTTCCCTGGGAAGCCACATGTAGAATTGGGGCAGGTCAGCTCCCGTAATGCCTGATTGCAAGTCCGCCCATCTGCGGTCGCCCGGTGTCGAGTGCCACATGGTTATTTGGGCAAGTTGGGCCGCTAAATAGTAGTTATAGAGATGGGGTAGGCCTAGCCCTCCCCCTCTTTGGGTCTATACAGTATGTTGCGTGCTACTCTGTGGCGTTTGCGTTGCTAAATAAAATCCCCTATGGACCTCTGCAAGGGGGCTAGTTCCGTTTTAGTTATGGGTATGGGGAGTGCTTGAAAAAGGAAGAGGAGTCTCGGGAGGATGTTCATTTTTATCGTATGGACCCTTCCTATCCAGGATATTGGCTTTTCAGTCCATCTGTCGAGGTCTGCGCTAAGGGTCTTAAGGAGCGGTGTGTAATTCGCCCCGTACAGCTTTGTGGGGTCAGCGGTTAGTTGTGTCCCCAAGTATTTTATGGAGGTTTGCGCTATAGGTATGTGGTGTTGGGTTCTTATGTATGAAGCGTTGTGCATTGTCCTTGCTATGGGGAGTGCGGCAGATTTGCACAGGTTGACCTTGTATCCCGATAAGGCTCCGTATTCTGCTAATTCTCTATCTAAGGCCAGCATTGAACTCCCTGGGTTTGTGAGTGTGAGAAGGACGTTGTCCGCATATCCCTATACTTTATATGTTTGGTCCCCCACTGTGATTCCCTGAATTGATTGGTTCGATCTGATCGTCTGTGTGACGAAGTGCCCTTCGCCACTTGTGCCTGGAGAGGACTGCTTGCCCGCCTCTTGCCCTGTGACTATGGACCTTAGGAGATTTGGCCCGTTCAATTCAGTATGATAGGAGTTATGTATTTTTGTATCCTTTTGTGTTTTTGTGATAATTGGATTACTTTCCGCATTGTCTCCAGGCTAGAGGGCTCTGTGAAACCAGTTTGGGCCAGATAGCCATGCTGCCAGCCATGCCCCAAAAGATACTTTACTAACTTCTGAACCCCTGGTCTGATTCATGCCATTTTTTTGATATGTTGTTTCCCTGAATGGATTGATTGTGAATATATATTTTTTATGTGAATGTGATGTATATTTTAGAAGTTATGAATGCTGTAAAAACTGTATTATTTCTGGCCAGCAGATAATTGAGCTATGTGTATTGTAGAAACTCAATTATCTAGCCTGGCCCAGAGGAGGAGTTTTGTGTTGCATAAATTGTGAGTTCTGTGTGCCAGTAAATCAGTCTTGTTCCAGCATTAAGCCTTGGCTCATGTTTGGGGGATTGGAGAAATACACTCTGGGGATTGCTATAATCACTATACTCCCCAGGGTATGATCACTAAGTTCTGCTAAGAGCTTGTTCCTGTTCCTGCTCTCTGGGGAAAGAGAGGTTCACCCACTGGAAGCTGGATCCTGGCCTTGGGTCCAGGGTGGGTGGAGACAGCAGAGACCCCGGCGCAGTTGCATCGCTGGAAGTGGGGTCTGCAGTGCTGATGGTGTCGGTTGGAGTGCTTGGAGTCCTCAGCGAGCACTAGGAGCATTGATTGGCGGAGGTACTCAGTCGGAGTGCCAGCGGTCCATCACGGTCTGCAGTAGGGGTTCTAATGTGAGAACGAACATGAGGGGCGACAGCGGGCAACCCTGTCGCGTGCCGTTGTGTAAGGTGAAAGGGGTTGTCTTAGCGCCCGGAATCTGAATGTGTGCCTTGACGTCTGCGTACATGGCTTGGATCGTGGTTATGTACGGCTCGGGGAAGCGGAGATGTCGAAGGAGATTGAACAGGTACGTCCATTTTACCCTTTCAAACGCCTTTTCGGCGTTGAGAGAGAGAATGAGCGTTGGTGTGTGCGTGGTCGTCTGCGTCCAGATTAAGTCAATGTTGCGTCTGTTGTTTTCGAATAACTGTCTTCCAGGGATGAAGCCCACCTGATCTGCATGGATTAGGTTCGTTAAGTGTGGAGATAGTCTGTCCGTTAGTATCCTGGCTAGTATTTTTACGTCGTGGTTAATCAATGATATGGGTCTGTAATTTTCAGGGTATGTTGTATCTTTTACGGGTTTGGGTAGTAGTATTAAATGGGCCGTGGACATGTCTGGGTCTGGACGTCCGCCCTGCATCAAGTGGTTGAACCACTTTAATAATTGCGGTGTCAGTTCTTCTCGGTATGTCTTATAGTAGCTGCCGTCATAGCCGTCGGGACCCGGGGCCTTATGCCCTTTAAGGCGTGATATCGCTCTGTCTATTTCGTCTGCTGTGACTTCGTCTCCCAAGGACTCTATTGCTACAGGGGTCAGCTTTGGGAGGTAAATTTTGCTCAGGTATTGTCCTATCTCGTCTCGTAGGTGTGGTGCTTTGTCGGCCTCGGTGGGTGTGTGGTTGTATAGGGTAGTGTAAAACTCGGTGAATATCCGAGCTATATCTGCCGGTGCAGTTTTGATCTGGCCTGTGCGATCCCTGATTGTCGTGATATGTGTTCGTCGTAATGTGCGAGACAGTAACGTGTGCATTTTGTTGGCCTGTTCATAATATGTTCTTTTAGACCAAATCATAGCCTTCGCGACGTCGGCCACTAAAGTCTCCTTTATATGGCGTCTGGTAGTCTGTAGGGCCAGAAGCCCATCTGGGGTGGGGTTGGTTTTATGTCTCTGCTTTTGTGTATGTAGGTCGCGTAGGAGGGACTTTAGGCGTTGTGTTCAGTTTCTTTTTTCTGGTTGCTTCCCTAATTAGTGTGCCTCTGATAACGGATTTGTGAGCAGCCCACACGGTAGCAGGAGTCAGGTCTTGTGAGGAGTTTAGTTGGAAATATTCTACTATCTCTTTGCGAATAGTCTCTCTAATAGTAGGGTCCTGCAGTAGGGAAGTATTGAGTTTCCAGTTCCACTGGGTCATGGTGCAGTTCTAAGCTGATGTCTGCATGGTCTGACCACGTGATAGATCCTATTGAGGACTTCATGATCTTTGGAATGGTTTGATCGTTAACTAAAAAGTAGTCAAGGGGAGCGTGGCCGGGCTGCAAATGGAGTAGGACGCAGACGACGAGAGCTCCTAGGCCCCAACCCGCCAAAAGCCCTACAAACGCAGCAAAAACTGCAGAATTAATGGGGAAGACCAAACGAGAGGCTACCCCCAGGCCACCAAATACTCCCGTGCACCAAATTCCGGGCCCCATGGACGACTATCTGTCCACTCCGCTCACCCTTGGGGGAGCGCGGGACCCGGACAAAATGGCACCCGCGTCCCTGGGTTCAAGTGGCAGGACAAGCTCCACGAGGGGTTCCCCGAGAGGGGAAACTCTTACCCAAATGTCGGCGGACCTGGCAGCGATCTCCGCAAATATGATGACTCGGAGTGACAAGACGGCATTAGTAGCCGAGCTCAGAGCGGCCATCCGTGAAGAGATCACGGCGGTGAGGAGAGACCTTGCGGTTCTGGAGCAGAGAGTTGATGACCTGGAGGAATACCGCTTGCAGACTACTCACCGCTTACAATCCGCTGACCTGGCGGCCTCACGGCAGGGTAACATTCTCCTCGACCTCCGACGTCAGGTGGAGGACCTCAATAATCGGGGCCGCCGCAACAACATCCGCGTGAGAGGTATGCTGGTGTCTGAAGGGGAATCACCCAGGGAGCTCCTCAAGTTTCTCTTTCACCACATTCTGGGAGATGAAGCACTGATGGACTTCGGCCTGGAGAGAGCGCATAGAGCACTAAGAGCCCCGCGGAGAGACGGTCTCCCTAGAGACCTTATCTGTTGCCTGCAGTCATTCCAGCTCAAGGACGCCATAATGAGGGCAGCCAGGACACAACGCATAATCGGCTATGGAGACGCTCACATCACCCTATATCAGGACCTCTCCACGATGACCCTTGATGCCCGCAGAGCTCTGAAACCCCTCACAAGCCTCCTACAAGAGAAACGGATACAATATAAATGGGGGTTCCCGTTTTGCCTACAAGCCAAGGTGGACAACCAATGGCATGTACTGCGCTGGCCTAACGAAGTCCCTCGCTTCCTGCAGGCTGTAGGCCTTCCGACCATACCCATACCAAATTGGATTCTGGACTGCCCTCCGGCCCGACCGACCGGCCCTGACGTCCCAGCCGAGACCATCTCCTCTGACGTGCCATCAGGGCCTCACCGTCGCCAGGGCGGCCCGGGGGGGCCCCGAAGAATAAGTGGATATCCCGCGCACTCCGACCCCTGGCAGCAGCGCCCCGGACTCTGGACCCCAGGGAACACCGAGGGGAAGCAAGTGACGAGACGCTCCCTACCCCCAGTCGTGATAATCTAGCAGACTCACGGAGATACGGAGGTTCTGGGGCGGTATGTACGGTGCTCTGGCCGGTTGTCAGATCCCCGCCACGACACCAGGTGCTAACACCTTCAGAGGTTCCCCAAGTGAGAGGGGCTGGTACTAGGACGGGAGTCTCTTGGGCAAGTGCCTGCTGGCTATTTCCCCTCCCGCCACTGGCACCAGCGGGGACACAGCTAAGTTTGGGTGGAGGGGTAACCTCGGGGGGTGGGGGAGACACGGGGGGCTTGGGTAGTGGACATGCCGCGCCCGCTGCCCACACGGTGCTCTGATACACAGAGTACTGGAGTCTGGAGTACTCCCCAGGCATGATAGCGCTCCGGTTACCCTTAAGGATGCCGGTGGGCGGCGCGTGCGGCTCGGGCCCACGCCACACGCTGTAGCCCTAGGAGCACGAGCAGGAGGCAGCACCGCAGCAGAGGACTGGGTATGGGACAGTTGGACTTTGGAGGGCTCCACAGTGGTGCACTCAGCTGCAGGGACTGTCATGGTGGACTTTCGGGGGCCTCACGGGGGACACCGCTTATGTACACTGGACATGCTGAGATCCGGGTAGCCCGGGCGCTGGAAGCTCTCGGGTTCCATGCGGCGTTGGTTCACACCTTCATTGTGTCTCACAGGCCCCGGGCGGCTAAATGTTGGGGGTGAGGAGGGAGAGGGACGGGGAATAGGAGGAGGATGTAGTGGGGAAGGGGGGGAGGGGAAAAAAAACAAAAACAAACCACAAAATCTGGGGGGATCCTGCAGCTGACCTAGGGGCAAGCGGGCGGGAAGCCCACACATGGAGTCCGGAGGCGGTATGCCAGGGGAGATCGGGGATGGTACGCTTGAGATATGGATGCTGTATAGGTTATGTTATTTATAGGATGTTTAACTTAGTTGCAAGTTTTTAGGGTGAACGACGGACAGATGTGGCCCATAGCTGGACATAGAGCACGGGGTGGGACTAGACGCCCGGAATGTCGCTCCCGTGAATTCTCCGTAGGGACGACAAACCGAGACCATTGGCACCCCACCCAGGAACCCTGGGGCGGTGGATGTGGAGTGGGCCTGAGGGAACTATGGTGTAAGATAGCCCACCCGGTTATGGCCCTAGACAACCCCAAAATAGTAGCTGGCAATTCCCATGGGATAAGGAGCCACGAGCCCCGAGCAGGAATTCCCCTACATCTGAGATTTCACGCACTAGACACCCCCACCAGCGGGTTGGAGGACCTGGGAGACGGTCACAGACGGACATTACACATACCTGCGACAGACGCCACTGGTGGTTTTTACCGCACCCCACGCAACAGACCTTCGTTGTCCATATAGGTCGGAGTCCGGACGGTCTGTAGCTTTGTGACTGCCGGACATTACCCCTGACCGAGGTTAGATGTTGCATTTACCTGCCCCTTCCCCGTATTGGTCTCGCCCGTGCCCCCTCCTTGTTGCCTCTGGCCCTTCTCGCCCCTGGCAGCCCTCGCTGTTTGGCGGGCTCACGGGTGCTCGGGGGTGGAGACCTGAGATCCGGGGCCATGTCCAGTGTACGCCCGGCGCAGCTTAAGCTGTGGTCACACAATGTTAGGGGCCTCAACGTTCCGGAGAAACGTTCCCAGCTGCTACGCCAGCTTTGGGCAGAGAGGGTGTCCGTGGCGTTTTTGCCGGAGATGCACTTCGTGAGCCGTGCTCATCACAATCTTGAAAATAACCGTTTCCCACAGGGGTATTATGCCTGTCACCCGGATGCCAAGAAAACAGGCGTCGCAATCCTTTTCGTGCACTCGATACCATATCTACATAAAGAGTCGCTTACAGACCCGGGCGGGAGATACATATTCCTCAAGGGCACCATAGCAGACCACACCTACACACTCGCCTGTATATATAGCCCTAACCGAACACAACACACTTTCCTGGCCAAAACAGGAGCACAGGGTGAGGAGCACAGGGTGGCGGCCTACGCGGACGACATGCTCTTTTTCTTGGAACAACCTATGATCTTGATACCTAACCTGTTACGAGCGTTCGCCGAGTACGGCAAAGTATTCAACCTGAAACTGAACCTAGACAAGTCAGAAGCCATGTTGATAACACAGAATGCAGGACTAGCCGACCGCCTCAGCTCCCAATTCTCCTTCGCCTGGCGTGAGACGAAAATCCGCTACCTGGGCACCTGGTTGCCGAAAGACCTCACCCACCTGTACCAACTAAACTTCCTCCCCATCCTCTCGACCATACAACAAGATCTAGCAAGGTGGTCCGGGCTGTATCTCACGTGGTTCGGTCGCATCAGTGCAGTCAAGATGAATATACTCCCGAGACTGCTCTATCTGTTTGCAACCCTACCCACGAAGATCCCACAGGCATTCTTCGGATCGGCAGCTACGGCCATACGCAAGTTTGTATGGAATCAGTGACCAACGCGCATCCGTAAGGCGACCCTGGAGCGCTCTAAGACAGCGGGTGGAGTGGGGCTGCCATCTCTACTCGCCTACTACCAAGCTGCTCACCTGCACAGAATTGTTGACTGGCACGCCCGCCCGGGCCCCAAACGCTGGGTGGCAATGGAGACGAAGCAAACGCAGGGCACCATCCCGTCCAGACTTTGGCTCGGAAGTGCCACTTACACGGACCTACAAACAAACAACCCCATAATAGACGCCACACTGAGAGTCTGGTGCAAGTTGCGCTATGCCCAACAGCTGACGACCTCCCCGAACCCCCTGACTCCCATCACGTTTAACCCGGATCTGGCTGGGGGACTACATCCGGCGGCCCTTAAACGCTTCCACACAACAGACTGGAATTATATGCATCAATGGAGTGTGGGAGGCGAGCTCCGGTGCCTACCGGATCTGTTGGGAGACCAACCTCCTACGCCGTTGGACACTTTCCAATATCACCAGGTAAAGTCATATTACGCCCACCTACCGGGAAAGGCCCACTTACACAGGCAGCTAACGGACTTTGAACAATTGTGCACAAACAGGAAGCACATAGAACATGGTATTTTGCACATGTATGGAACCCTCCTATCGACGGCAGGTAATGGTCCCTTAGGCTTCACCAGTAAATGGGAACAGGAGACCGGAACCCAGCTGACAGACCAAGAGTGGGATAAAATCTTCCTACTAACCCATAAGTGTTCCATAAGCTCCAAGTTCCAAGAAACTAGTTATAAACTTCTGACACATTGGTACCAAACACCTGACACTCTTAGGCACATGCCACATGCTGACACGGGCGAATGCAGGCGGTGTGGGGCGGAACCTGGTTCGTACCTGCACATTTGGTGGTCCTGCCCACATATAGCTCCATTTTGGCAGATGATCAATACAAAGATTCGGGAGATCACGGGAACGGACCTCACCCTCCAGCCTTTGCCGATGCTCCTGCACCACACACCCACACCCATGCGAACATACAAAAATTCACTTATCATACATCTGCTCAGAGGGGCCAAAACCCTTATACCCTTACACTGGAAGCACCCAACGATCCCCACATACAGACAATGGGTGGATAAGGTAGAAGCCATCCACGATATGGAACTCATGACTGCCTCCCTGCAAGAACGCTCGGACAAGTGCGCTCTCAAATCGTACCCCTGGAAATCCTACCTTTCGAAGGGTATAGCATGAACTGCATTCCGGACGCTGATGGACCCGGAGAGGCTGGGCTGTGGCGGACCGGCGACCCGGGGGGGGGCGGGGGCGCGGCCGTGAAGGTCGAGGGGGGACCCACCGGGACCTTCCAAATGCGCCACTCCTTCCCTTCTCTATCCAATCTCGACCCTGACCCTTGCGACACCTAACTACCCATACAGACTGAAGCCAGAGGACGAACCCTCCGCACAGGGCGCCCCTAAGATAGGACCTCTACTCTAGAATAGGGACGGCTGAGGATTGGGAGACCGAGAGGCCGGGGTAACACCCACTCAGACCCGCACCACGGGACGTAGGGATGACTACGGGGACTAAGGAACACATTGACGGGACACACTCCTCTACCCGAGTAGCCTGACGTACCTCGACTTCTACACTTACCCCTCCACGTCCCCTACCTAAAGGGGCGCGAGTACTAGAGGCCAATTCCGACTAATAAATATCGGGGCAAGATATTTAGTGCGAAAGGAGTAAAGGAATGCTAGCCTACCACACCATACCTGTGAGTCCGATTGGCCGCCTAGTGGCACAGAACGGACCCCACTATGGACATAAACAAGGGGCCTCAATCTCTTGCGTCCCATCGTTGGACGTAGAGATGGGGCACTATAAAATGATACAACACACTTTCTGACGTGGCCCTTAACCGGCACAAGGCCATGCACCACAGTACCTTACCCAAATATGTAGACGGACAGACAACATAGCTTAAACCTCAAAGCTGGCTAGAGCCAAGATTACGATACAAAGGGAACCGCAGCCACCCAGTGGTATGTTGCTGGTACTCCTTTGAGACATTGTTTCTTGTTTCTATACAAACTTGGTTGTAACCTGTTGGATATGTTACATATGTTTGTGTCAAGATGGAAAAACTCAAAATAAAGATTGTCAAAAAAAAAAAAGTAGTCGATGAGGGAGTACGAGTCATGGGGTGCAGAATAGAATGTATAGTCTGCTTCTCCCCGGTGGTGGGCCCTCCACACATCTATCAGTCCTGTAGTGCAGAGGAAGTCATGGATTAGTCTGTCCGGTCTCCCCCTGCCGTGTGAGTGTGGTAAACCTCTTATGGTCCCTCTGTCTATGGCCGGGCATGGGGTGGCGTTAAAGTCGCCCCCCCATGATAAGCATGCCATGAGGTAGAGTTTTTAATTTGTCCGCCAATTGATCCCAGAAGTCCCTGGATGGGTCAGTGGGAGCGTAAATGTTTATGAGATGGATGGTGTGAGCGAATAGCGTCCCTGACAGGATAAGGTATCTTCCGTCCGTGTCTGTGTGGACCCCTGTGACTCGCAGTGGACAATGTTTATGTATTAGTATTGCTACTCCGTTGCG